CATGCTTGCTGATTAAACTCTTGTTTAATATTTGAAAGTGAAATTGATAATGTATTTGATAAGTCTAGAATATAACTGAGCCAAAGTGTAAAAAAAAAATAGCTAAATTAAAAAATTAAAATTATACATAATGGCATAGTCTAACAGAAAAATTATATTTACTCATGTTTTTTAGTGGTTGGTTTTTTACAGTACTTCTCTAATAAATCAAGCAAATCAATTTCATTTTCTTCTTTATTAACTAATAACTTGGACAATGGTGTTGTGATTTTTGTCTGTGAGATTAATGGATTTTCCTCTAGTTCTTCGTATGAGTTGGAAATTGGTTATTAAAAAACAATTAGTCTTATCCTTCAAAGAGAAGATAATTTACTTATTACTTACTTCATCATTTTCGGAAAGGTATTTTTTATGTGGAGGAGACATGTGAGCTTCCAGATTTTGGACACTGTTTATACACATCAAAAAACAAAGTGGCTTATCTTTTTTGATTGAACTAGAGTGATGAGTGGTGGTGATAACCACCACCACCATTCTTAAAACTCTTACTTGTATGAATTTTTTGTCTCTTTTTCTTTTCTTCTTTTATTTTTATTTCTATCTGAATAGTTAAGGTTGTGGCTTCCTGCTGGGTTAGCAAAGGCTTCCCTTTGTCAGGTTATTAGTTAAATTAAAGATCAATATTGTATTTAGAGTAAATTGTGTTATGTGTTTTATTATTGATAATAATATTATTACAATAGTGTTGGGAGTGTATTAATTATTAGATTAATAATTAAAAGGTTATTATGAACATGATGTTTTTGACATGGTCTAAAATCAAGTCCTTGGGTATTACAAATAACATGACCTCCACTCTATTTTGTCCAATAAAATATGCTAAATAAATATTGGATATGTTTTTAAAAATATAAATATAGAAATATGAATATGAGTCATTTTTAGTGTAGCACTGCGCAATACGTGGCGCAGACGTTACACGAAATATATTTGATATGTCCATGTGACTTCCACAGTATGTTGGTTTGGTTTGATCGGCAAAGTGGGCCTCTCCATCGGTCCTTATTTTACTATCTCACAATAGGGATAGTTCTATATATCACTTAAGATAACAATGGGATATTAATTATGATCACATTACAAATGACTAAATTTTGATCCCTGAAATTCTTGGTTATACCAATGTTCACTTTGTTTGGTTTTGTTTTCATAATTTTATATGTAAAATCGAAGAAAAAAATCATTCTGGTATACACAAACCTACCCGATTTAACCAAGATTGTTCCTTGAATTATAAAAAATCAAAATATATGGAAAACTCTTTATTTTTGATATATTTTTTGTCAGGGTAAACAAATAAGAGTCGAAGAAAATCTTAATTTGAAGTTGGTCTACCAGCTCTATAAGTTCTATAATATAATAATAAAATAAGAAATTTGTACATGCGCAAATCAATCTTTGGACTTGATTTTTTTTTTACATAATAATAATTAATGCAATAGTAAGTTCTAATTTCCAAGCTTTAAATATTATTTTAGAAAAGTATTAAATTTTTTTTTATATTAAAGTTTCATTAATGATTATTAACGGTTTTAATTGCAAGCTTCATAGATCTTGCTTTTAACACTTCAATCAACTGCTATATAACTATGAATCATTGATAAAACATTCATCAAGTATAACGATTTAGAAGGACTTTTATTTACATATTTAATGGATGATATTAATAATAAGCACAGATTATACTTGTAAAAACCAAGGTTTGTTTGTTATATTCACTCTCATTAATTCCGATGTATATAAGTCTTGATGATCGCGTAACAATTTTATATAATATTAATAATAAGCACAGATTATCCTTATAAAAACCAAGGTTTGTTTTTTATATACAAGTTAGTGTAATAGGCTACTTAATTTCTATTATAGTGTTGCTATGATAGTTTCATTTTCATCAATTAATATAATAAATTAATAACCTATAAATAATTATAAATCAGTCTCTTATAATTAAAGTCGAAATTTTTCCAACACAACCTTTCAAGTAGTTATAAGTGACTTTGTAGGAAACACTTTGACACGATTGTTGCCGCTGAATTTGTTTTAGTCTGCATACTAGTTGGAAGAAAGAAACGTTTCCGACCTAGCGTATAATAACCAATATTTAAGCTAGCTTTTTCTTTTAACTGTTGTTAAAAGTCCCAATCTGGCTCTAAAAATTTTATTATGGTTGAAAATCGCTTGCTATATGAAAAACGGGGATTTTTTTTTGATAATTTTATTCGTGTAACGTTTATATTATGCGCATAATAGATTAGATAAATCTGTGTTACGCGCCAAAAATTTAAATAAGGTTTTTTTTTTTAATTTTTGTATACATGATGATGTAAACAATAAATGAAATAAAAATTTTAAATGCCGCCAGCTAATTCCATTTGGATTCATTTCAATAAACTTGGTCAAGTATCAGGCTTTCAGCAACCTCATGCACAATGCAAATATTGTAATTATGAAATAAATGCTGCTGTTGGTAAATGTGTTGCGCATTTTTTAAAATTTGTTCAAGAGTAAGTATAACAACTCTCCAAGGGTAGTAGTGAAAATGAAAAAGGAAATCAAGAATCTGATGATTTTTATGATTCTGATGTAACTTATTAAGTTGGTAAAATAATAAATTTTTATAATAATAAACATATGTTTTATTACATCTAAGCTTAAAACCATGAAGATAATATGGTGGATGGTTTTTTTTAAAAAATCATTAATAATTTACTATGCACACAATGCACATAATGCACATTATGCGCACAATAAACTAAGGATTTAGCATTTTGCCCATCTCTATGACACTTGATCTCCAATGTTATCTTATGCATCCTTTTTAGATTGTTTGCCACACTTTTCTAAATATAAAAAATTTAACCGAACAATCAATATGGGAATTAACATTTTTCCTCGGCGCGTGTAGTAGCACATAATAATCATATAATAATAAAAAAATACTTATATAAAGGGATTAAACTTTTTTCATAATAAATAAAAATCAAATAAATTTAAATTTTTAATTAAAAATTTCACTCATCGTCATAAGCATTCATAAATAAATAACAAACATGAGTCTCTTAAACATTATATCTGACACAATCAAACCTTTTGATATACTTGCATTATTGCTAACAGCAATAAGTTTATATATAGCACGCTTTTACTATCAACATTTCACTCGCATAAATCCGCTTCCTGGACCAATACCAATTCCATTTATTGGTGGCTTCTTTATTTTTAAGAAAGATTTCGAGACTTGGTTTTTTGCATTACATAAAAAATATGGTGATATTTTCGAGGTGACATTTGCTGGCATGAGACAAATTGTACTTTGTCGCGCTGAATATGTCGATAAAATGTTGGTTCCATCAATGAATAATTATATGATCAGATTTCCTAGCCAAGCATTTGTAGAGGCGTTTGATTCTGATCGAAAAGGATTAGCGATGAATAATGATTTGCAAACTTGGAAATTTAACCGTCAATTTTTTTCACAAGCAATCATGACACCAAGTTTTAGTATCGCGGCCAATAAATGGACAAATGAAATGTTTGAAGAGATGGAAAAGTATTGGATGGATTTAAAAAAACCAGATGATTCAGAAGATGCTGTAATTATTGATATGGCTGCTTGGATGCGTCGATTTACAAATGATTTGATATCTGTGTTAACAACCGGCAAACGAACTTATACAATATCATTTCATTACCATAAATTAAAAAACGTAAAATTATCAGAGGAAATGATAGAGTCGGAGAAATTTGTTACATCCTTGAATGATTTTGTATCAGGAAGTGGAATTCTTGTACTTGTTCCTAAATATCTCAGATTTTTACCTATTATTAGAGGTAAAGTTAAGAAAACGGTTGAAAATCGTGATTATTTATATGGAAAATTAGTAGGTATAATTAGAGAAAGAAGAAAAGAAATTGAAGAGGCTATTAATGAAAATAAGAATACCGAGTTAAGACATGATATGTTGACTTCTTTTATTACTGCCAACACTCCATACGACATTAATTCATCAAGACATGTGGATCCTGAATTATCGAGGCCAATGACTGATGACGAAATACGTGCTGATATGTTGGACATATTTCTAGGTGGCACTGACACAGTAAGTATTGTTGTTGTGTTGTCGTCGTCGTCGTTGTTATATATATATATCAATTAATATATTTATCTACCTATATTATATAGACTTCAAATACCTTTTCTTTTGTGTTATATTATATTTCACATCATCCAAATGTTAAAAAAAGAATGTTGGAAGAGATCGAATCAGTTTTAAAGGGTGATGAAACCAGACAAATAACATTAGAAGATATTGAGAAATTGAAATACTGTGAAGCAATTATTAAAGAAACATCAAGAATAAGACCTACAGTTAATATGATCGGGAGGTTTGGAAGTCTACCTGATGAAATAGCAGGATATAAATGGCCGGAAAGTACACAATTCCAAATGTATATTCATGCAATTAACAACAATCCATCTCATTGGGAAGAGCCTGACAAATTTAATCCTGACAGATTCATCGATAATCAAGTAACCGAAAATCAAAGAAAAAATTCTTTCTTGATGTTTGGTGGTGGGTTGAGAATATGCCCTGGTAAAAAAATTGCAATGATTGAAATGAAAGCTTTGTTAGCTTTAATATATCGTAAATTTGATGTTGAGTTGGTCGATATGAATGCACCACTTAATATTAGAAGCACAACAATTACTATTTGCGAAAAATTAAATATTAAAATTTCCCATAAAAAGAAAAATACTTTATAATTTGTTGAATATCAACAAACATGTCATTATTTATTTATTTTTATTTTATTTATTTAATAAAGTATTTTTATAACCTGTAAAGGTACCTCAGTTCCATGTTGAGGCTCATAAGTTATTTGCATAACGTAAATGTACATATGCATCAAAATGATCCTGGTTCTACCGAGAGTAACACTAACGTATATAGACATATTTATGTATATTGATTGTTTAGTATTAGGTTTAATTGATTACCTATATGACCAGATGAATGTTCCAATGTCTTGTAAATAGTTGTTTCCAATTAATGAATTCCTTTTTTCATTCCTCGGATAACTTTTGCTTTTCTGAACAGATTTGACAATGTTGCTCATCATTATTAACGTTATAATTATGAAACAATAATATAGTGATGTTTAGTTTACTCTTATTATGATGAAATATTAGCTATGAAAATTACGATGGGCTTTTTTTATAATGATGCGTGTCACGCATGTTGTGCATCAAGTAGTTAGCCACATGATGACGTTACTCTGTCTATTTGCATATAAATTCATTGGTCGCGTGGCTATAGGCAAACAAACAGTTTGTTCATCTTGAATAATTGTATTAGGTAGCGAACGTAGTGATGAATGAGATTTATTACGATTTGCTTGGATAATGAACTCTTTGTGATGTTGGATTATAATTAAAAGAAACATTGCAAGTATCTTTTATATTAGAATGATACATGCATTTATTCATTTTATCAGGTCGCAAACATCAACATTACTTCTCGTTGAAAAAGTTATTGCTATTATTATCATTATTTCCGCCTGATAATCGAGTTTATGAATTCAATATTTAGTGATGATCGACAAAATCAACTGACTATATAGGATCAATTTGATTGATCAATTGATTGTTAATTATTTTGAGTGACTAATTTATAGCTAATTTTAATGTTTGTAATAGTAAGCTCGAGCTTATAATAGATTCATTTCAATCGAACGATCATTTCTTAATAATAGCCCAAGAGAAACCGATTCCCATTGAAAGTCACACATCAATTAATTGAGTGAATGGCGAATTATGAATTGATTTTCGTTTATATTTGAGAATTATCTTTTTCATATGATCATATTTACGTTCATATAAATAAAATAACGAAGCAATTTTTTTTCCAAATTGAAAAATTTTCTTTTTTAAAAAGCTTGTGTCAATATAGAGATTATAAATCATTAATTTAACTAACTGATAGTAATTTTTAATAATAAAAATAATAAAATAAATAATAATAATGAAAAAAAAAGTATCGGAAGTAATCGACAATAATCATGATGATATAACTAAAACTACATCAACTATAACAACAAATTCTACAACCGGGACTAATCAATCCAACACTAATTCTAACACTAATAGTTCTGATACTTCCACTATTTTCAGTCAGTCGAATAATGATGATCTTTTCTATGACAAGCATTATAACGAGGAAACGTTTATGAATTTTGACGATGACGAAGAAAGCGGTAACAACATCCCTCAAACTTCACCATTGCTTAGCATGGACAAATTAGCCTCTCACCATATCAAACAAGCAGAGGATGCGTTAAGTAGGTTGAAGTCGGAAGTTGATCAACCAGGATGGAAAAAACTTTTAACACACAGACATGGTGTGGTGGTTTATGGTAAATCTGATGACAAATTACCTATTTTCATGGGTGAACACATTATCAAAGGATTTGCACCACAATCCGTTTTTGCTGTTATCGGAACGAGAAAGTTGTGGGATGATTGGTATGAGGAAGGGAATTTGGTAGAGAATTTGAACGAAAATACCAGTTTAACCTATATCGTAATTCAAGCATTGGCCGGATCAAAAGCTAGAGATTTGTCACTTGTGGAAAAGATTGAGTGCACGTTAGAGGGAAAAATTTATTTCGTATCAACATCGGTCAACACACCAAAAATCCCACACATTTCAAATAGAATACGTGCTCACATTCATCTTAACGGTTGGATTCTGGAACCATTATCATACAATCCACCAGCCACAAAAATTAATTACATTCTTCAAGCCAATGTTAAGGGCTGGGTCCCGGGAGTTATTGCTAAAAAATATTTGACTCGACGTCCTTTAATCATCGATACCATTGATACTTATCTACAAAAAAATGGGCCTCCAACTATGTTTCTCCAAGCTGCTAATACTGATACTTTCAATGATCATTCTACTGCGTCCTTAAAACATATTAAAAGTATTTTGTCAACCAATAAGAAGAATAATAATAATAATAATAACAACAACAACAATAACGATAATAATAATAATGGAGAATCTAACCAAAATGGTGACCGACATAATATTGGTAGCTTAAGAGGTCCTATTCATAATAATAATGATAATGATAATGATAATGATAATGATAGTGATAATGATAATATTAATATTAATATTGACGAGAGCGATAGTAATAACAAAATCACCACAAGTTCAACTACTAATGGTCCGAAACTTACTAGTACAAGAAGAATTAAATTTTCTGATCAAGCCAAAATTCACTCAAAATTATCTTCATCGTTATCAGAAAGATCACCTAGAATTATCACATCAATAGTTGCTGACACCAATAATAATCATTCAAAACCAATAAAACAATCATCATCATCACCGTCATCACCTACTACTGCAACCCCAATTCGAAATATTACGTCTTCAAAAAAAAAATATGTTAAAATTCCTGAAAAGAATAGAGCGACACATCGTCATTCCGAGACATTACGTGCAGCAATGGACAACTTCAAATCACAAGCAAGGTCGTTGGATGGATGGAATTTCTATTCGAATGATAAAGGTGTTAAAATCTACTCCAAAGATGTTGGCGGTAAATCTATACCAATGATACGAGGTGAATCAAGAATCTCTGGTGGATTTACTGTAGAAGATATCTTGTCAATTATAAATAGCGTAGAAATGAGAAAGATATGGGACGAGAGGTTTGAAGATAGTGTTGTATTGGAGAAATTGAATCACTTTGATAGTCTAGTCAAATCTGTGATAAAAGGTTCATTTTCGATAAGGTAATATGTGCGTGCTTGTTTATATATACATATTTTGCTACATTGATAATAATAATAATAATAATAAATATAAAAAATATTTTCTCATAATGTTATAGTGGAAGAGATTTGTCATTGGCATCTACGATAGAATATGATTTTGAGACTGGAATAGTTAGATATGTATCAACATCAGTAATAGATCCATTGATCCCAGAGACCAAAAAATATGTCAGGGCACAATTAGATTTTGCAGGTTTTGAATTTGCATCAAAGTTTGATGATGAGGGATTTACAAAATATGTGGATATAAAATACATTGCGGACATTGACGCCAAAATTGACACAGTTCCATCCATAATCCTCAGACAAGTTTCCATTCAGACTCCAATTATACTTAACAGGATCGACGAGTTGTTACAAAAAAGTGGATTCCCGCCCTATGTTAGAGAATCGACATCACAAACTTCGATGAAATCGTGTGTGGTCAACACGAAAACATTTGAATGTGACATTGAAGTAGTAGATGTTTTTGGTGGTGCGGTCACCGAGTTAAAAACTTCAAGAAAGATGTATCCTAATGGATATGAGTTAACTATCAAACCTGAAAATGTAAAGGTTGAATTATTACCGAGCAAATTTGAGCTTGTTCGTATAATGTTTCCAACTGGAAATGATTATACAAATATGTTGAAAATTAAAATCAAAAGAAATACATCTAAAGGAGTAGATTTTATTTATAATGGTGGAAAATCAATTCCTCTGGCATTATCATCGTCGTCGTCGTCGCCGTCACTGTCGTCACCATCATCATTAAGTAAAAATACTAAGAAAGGATCAATATCAAAATCATCAAAATCATCTTCAAAAAATCAAATTCAGGAATCTATAAATCAAAATATTACATCAAGTTCTATAAAAACTTCAACCGCGTCAATCAATTCACATTCACTTCCGAGGTTTAAAACATCTTTCATAACACAATCAGATTTTATTAGAATGCCATCGATATCTACATCACCACCATCAATACCACTACCTCCGCTTCCAACATCTGCAATTGTAAGCAATAGTAATAGTAACAATGATGATGATGGTGATGATATTGCATCAGATATAATTATTGCAAATCATCAAGAAACATCTACATCCACATTGGCTGGACTTTTAAAAACCCAATCAAAGGTGAGAATTATTTATTTATATATTACACTACCCAAATTAAATGTTAATTAAGCACGTTAGGGGATGTCTGACCCCTCGGCAATTAGCCTTCACTATGATAATGATTAACATAATATATTGATCAATTTGCTAATCACGTGATTTATTGGACACACTTGTTATTTATTTTGTAGAGTAATAATGATAACAATCAAATGTTTAGACGTTTAACCAATGTTACAACAACTACAGATGAAGAAGGAAAGAGCTTCCAAAGAATTAGCATTAATAATTTAAATGATCATTTTGCATCATCCATTGAATCATCCAGGTTTAATGTAAAACAAGCTGGATTAATGTTTGCTTCAATGTTGTTAATGTATTATGCCGGAAAACTTGGTATTAGTATGTGATTATAATTACAATTGTATAAGAACTAAAACCGTGGAAGATCTTATAAAAAAGAGGTAATATTATTTTCTTTATAGGTAAAATCTTTTATATACATAAATGCAATTTTCCATAAATAGCAAGACCAGAAGTTTCTGTCGTTTATAATAATAATAAAGTGCAACAAAAATATCTTAAAAATGATGATCGCAATAATTTATCGTAATAATAATAAAATGATAATTGATTAATTTCCAAAGCGGAGTGAATCATAGTTTATTAAAAATATATATATGTATGTGTGTGTGTCAAAAACAATATAATATAAAAAGAATTTCTTCAACAAAAAAAAAAAATAAAGCCAGTATGTGAAATTAAACAAATAATAATAATAAAACAAATAAATAAAATATTTTATTTTTTTGATTTTGGTAAGGACCTATTTAAAACGAACAGATCTCGAATCAAACTCTATATAGACTTGATCTCAAGGTTTTAAAAATAAACAAAATAATTTCTTTGCTCCTAACCATCATTTTCACTGGCGGTAATTAAAGGCGGTGGTGGTGAAATCTCTTGATCGTCATTTCTATTTATTAATCTTATTTCTTCTATTATCGTTGTAGTTGTTACATTATCATTATCGTTATCAACATTGTGAGCATTTATTGAAGTAGTGGTTGCTACTGGTTTTGTTGTTGTTGTTTCTGCTGTTGTTTCAGTAATAGTTCCAATTTCTGTTTCAGTAACCGTTATTGAATCGGTTGCTGTTGCAGTAGCTGTCGTAGTTTCTGATGACGGTGATGACGACGACGATGATGCTAATAGTGGTGGTGGTGGTGGTGATGGTAATGGCAGTGACAGTGATGTATTTATCTGTTGATGATCATTTATGGAATTTGTTGAGACAGGTGAACCTCGAGGTGATAATTGTGCTGATGTACTCGTTATTGTTTCATCTTCTGTGCCTGTCGTTATTGGTGTTGAAACTATTGTCGATGTATTTTCAAGTGAATGTGAGGTTAAATCTTCATCCTCCTCATCATCGTCATCCTCATCACCATTCAATCCTAATCTTCTTGGTGTTAATAATCCGTCATCATCATCATCATCACCATCATCAATATCATTAACTCGAATATTATTGGTTTCATTTTCTTCATTTTGTGATGATATTGTGTTAGAACTTTCTTGTGAATTATTGTTTGACCTATCTCTTTCCTCACGTTCTCTTCGTTGCGCAACCTCTTGTTCTACCAAACTTAATCTAATAGCCTCCATAACCATTAATTCCTCTAAATCAGTTCCCATTCTCATGGCTGCAAGGTATCGACTATAATCTGCATCTGGGGTTAAATTACGTCGTGAATTGGTAGAAGCAGAGGGTGGTACGATGGCACCAGTAGGAGGGTTAGGACGAGGTACAAAACGCCTTGGATTCCCTGGCGAATTTAAGTTTGGAAGTCTTCGTGGAGTTAATGGTTGACGTTGGAGTACTACACGAGTTGCCCAATCTGGCCTAATTTGGTCTTTATTATTATTTATTTATTTTTTTTTTAAAAATATAATATTTTTATTAATATTTGGTATTAAACATTTTTAACAATGAATTAAAATGTATCAAAAAAAAAGTTTAGTTTATTAACATACCACTAGTAACAACCTCTGGATCTTTATGACTAACACTTTTTCTTCTTGATTTAGAATCAGATGATGATGTATTGAATGAAGTATTTGTAGATGATAAAGAGGGTGAACTATTATTGTTCTGTATGGTAGTATGTAAATTCTTAAAAAAAAAACACCCCAAGTAACATATTAAATTAAAGTAAAACTAAAATTGCTCTTTCCTTTTGAAAAAAAAGGATCTTATCATATAAAACATACCACATTTTCGCTGCCTATGCCATTACTAAAAGGTGGTGGCTTATAACATACACCAAAATTAGGTTCAACACAAAATGGACACACCGCTGGAGAATTATTAGCACCTAATGTACCATTTTCTGGCCTCTTTATTTGAACAAAACACTCTGTGCAAATTGGATGATCGCAGCATCTAGAATGATTGATATTTTGAGGGTAATACTTTTTTTTTGGTAAAAAAATCATAATAAATTTTAAAAGATTAAATAAAAGGTATTGTAATCTTCTTAATATTGATATATATATATATATATATATGTAATAATAACATCTCTATCCAATTCACTAATAATAATTAAACTATTTTAAATATAAATATTCGAAACTTTCACATTATAGCAATTTTTTTCATGATCAAATAATCATAAAACAAAAAATTTTTTTTACTTACCAAAAAACATATTGGACATTCTACAGCACCTTTATATAATTGAGTTTCTAATGTTTTCATTGAATTAATTTCTTTTCCTTTATTAGTTCCTGTCGAGTTTAGAGTACCTGTTCGTTTTAATTCTTTGGCTCCTGTTTGTGTATTATTATTATTATTATGATTATTATTATTATTATTATTATTACTATTATTATTACATTTGCCACCTAATGCAGTGATGGTTTTTTTTATCTCACCATTTTTTGGGAGATTATGCGTTGTCAGAGTGACATCATCCCAATTATCATCATAGTCTGATAATCCTTTATAGAAGGGTGCTAACTTCCGTTCTATAATGAATTTACGAACACTTTTGGTATCCCAATCCTGTGGTCCTTTATATAAGCCATGTGGTACGAGTTGACCACCATCAACTATTTCTTCACTTTTATCTTTGCCATTTGAGTTTCCCATTGTTTGTTTTATTTAATAAACAGATATTCTTCGTTGTAATACTAACTAGATCGTGAATTTTTTTTTTTGAGTAAAAATAATAATAATAAAATATACTAATGGTAACAAATAAAAAAAAATAATACAATAAATATTTACAGGTGCCAGCTGTTGAGATTTTTTTTTAAAAAAACTGGGCTTATATATCGTTACAATAAAATATTAATAATAAAGTAATAAATTAATTATTAGGAAAATGTTAAAGAGGTTGTTCGTTTTATCACCAAGTTTTTATATTTAAAGAAATTAGTGGCCCAAAAAAGAAATAAGGTATTTTGTTATCATCGAGCTCGTGGAACCTTGTTTGAACAGACACAGACTCCTTGTCTTGTCTAATTTCTTATTTATTATTAAAATTTTTTTGTATGATAAATAAACCTGTTCTTTATAAAAGAAAATTATTAAGGCCAAATTGATATTTTTTTTTTATTTTTTTATTTGGTTAGGTTTGGGGGTTAATTTCTTATTATTATATTATGATCAGAATCATATAAAGAAAATGAGATCATATGGTGCTGTAATATAACAATATAAATAACTCCATAAAAAAAAAATACTGGGTTCAAAGATGACCCCTGAATACGATAAGTCCAGTATTTAAATTACCATGTTTAGAAAGATTTACATAATTTTGGTACAATGTTTAGAATGATTTACATGATTTATCGCCTGTGAAATTTTGAAATTGGACAATGTATATATGAGGCAGACTACAAAACCAGATACAAACAAAGTGAACGTTATGTCACAAAGAAATTTCAGGGATCAAAATTGTTTAACTAATTGTGTTAATGGTTTTATCCATATTTTTTTGTTTAGCTATTCAATATCCCTTCCATTGGGGTTAAAACTTTTTGGTGGTCAACAAAGTAAAGAATACTTTCATAATGTAGCAAAAGAGAAATATCATTCTCATTTTTGAATATAGGGTACATCTGGCCGATAATAAAAAGACAAAATGGAGATTATTTAAATCTGGATTGAAATCCCCAAATGAATTCATATCCATTATTTCCAGAAAAACAATCATAAATATTATATTAGAAAATTTTTATAAATAAAATAAAGTTAGTCTGTACATTGACAAATAAATTGTTAAAAATAAAATCCATCAGTTCCATTGGTGTTCCCTGGAATTGGAATTAGAAATTTTGTTCTAGTGTTCCAGTTCCAGTAATTTTCCCAATACTGGTATATAATAATATCATATATTTAATATTTATAAAGCAATATAGGTAATGATTTTAATAGTCTGTTAATATTTCAATCCTGACTTGCTATGGAATTGTGGTGCAAATTCAAGATCTACTGGCATTACCATTATTCTGTTTGCATGAGATGCACATAATTTCTGTAATAAAAGAAATGGTAATTAATAAAAATATTTTTAAATTAATATTTATACATAAAGTGATTATATTAGAATTAGAAAACTCCCATTTTTTAGTTGAAAAGTGTACCTCTTGAATTTTATTTATCACATACTTCAAACTTTACATTTGGTTTAATATTTTTGACTATTCCTCTTACAAGATGCTCAAAGGGAGCTTTTCTTATTGCAAATTATTATTATGATGAGACAAGGTAATTTGATTTTCTTCATGATAAGAAGAGGAAGAGGAGGGAATGTTGATCAAGAGAAAAAGCAGTGTCAATAATTGAAGTTGTTTTTATTTGTATATTATCAGGATTAATAAAACCATATTACTTTCATTTACTGAATGCTGTTCATAATCACCACTAATGTCACTACCATTATCATTCAAGTCATCATATTACTTCAGAACCATCTAATGATTCTTTTGAGACACCAGACACAACAGATTCAAAGTTATTAGTACTACTATTATTATTGAATGGAATACTATAACTAGTGCTCCGAACGGGTCAGGACAGGTCGGGTTGAATGGAAAACACAACCTGACCTGAATTTTTTAATTATTGACCCGACCCAAATGGGTCAGGTCAGGTACTTGGGTCAGATATAAAAATTTTTCATGTATCAATTAATACAATGTGTAACAAAAAATTTGGAAAATTTTATTTGTTTGTTTTTCAATATTGGTTGAATAAAAAACATATCAAAAGAAAACCGAAAATCAGAGGTTTCTATTAATATAAATTTGATATGAAAATTTTTTTTAATTGCTTTCAATATTAAGTGACAAAGTTAATTTTTGAT